TAGCGTCAGGGCGACCAGGCACAGGGCGCCCAGGAAGATCAGCCCGCCCTTCCGGCGCCGGGCGAGCGCTCGTGTCGACTGCGAGCCCAGTGGGAGGCCACACGCGAGCCCCGCCCCACCCCCACACGACTTCTACTGGGGGAGAAGAAAAGTGGGGCTCGCTTCGTTCGGGACCTCCCGAGCGAAGCGAAGCCCACCTCCCCCTCTGGAAATCATGGGGGGGGGGAGGGGGGTCGCATGTGGCCCCCTGTGCGAGCCCAGGGGGGGACTGCGGCGGGGCGTTCTCGCAGGCCCTCGCGCCTTCTGAGAAGCCGTCTGCTCCGTATCCGAAGCCAGAGGCGGTGTCTCCAGAAGGCACGAGGGACTTCCGGGCAGCCCCGCGGTCTTCTGAGTAAGGCCCGCCCCCTCTCGCCTCCTCCGCGTCTCGCCGCCGCTACGCGCTTTTACACCGATCCTGGCGAGCTCCATCCTGGGCCCCGCATCGGCGGCGCCCTCCTGGCGTGGCCAGAAGGCACACGCACTGGGTCCAGGGCATCGGGCGCCGAGGTTCGCAGGTCGAGGTGTGCTGGGCACTTCTGGCCGTTTCTGGGCCTCCCCGTTGCCACCCACGGCCCCGCTCGTCCTGAACTTTTTGCGCACCCCGGGAGAGATGCGGAGCTCGACCTTACGACCCAGACCCCTGATTTCCGACGTCTTTCTCTTAGCGTTCGGCCTCCGAGGGTCGTCACCCAGCCCCGACACCGTCGTTGAAAAGTTTGAGCTGAAAGCCCGGTCATTGGAAAAAGGGTCGGAATGTCCTGGGACCCCGCACGGACAAAAAAAACAAGACTGGACAGCTACGTAGAACCGAGCGACCGTACAGGTTCACATCCTTCCTCCTCCCTCCCTCCCCCCACTGACTGCTCCCGAGTCAAGTCCAGAAGCCAAGCGTCAATTGGCACATGGGCGGCACGAAGCTTTGCCCTGTACGACGCCCCAAAAAAGCGGAGCGCCTCGCAAAAGAAACGGAGCGGAGCAAGACTATGAAGTAGAGAGCGCACGGGCCACGGGGCGTCACGGCGTCACGGGGCTGCAGAATCACTGTCACGGCGTCACTTGGCGACATGGGGCGCCACGGGGCGCCTCGGGGCGCCACAGCGTCACAGGGCGTCACGGCGTCACTCGTCTGCGTCACTGCACACACTCTGTAGCGAAATAGCACCGGTGCTGCTTGTCTACGACGCACTGGGACAGAGCAACCAAATCCGCCGCAAAACACTCCGAAATCCTGTTCTACATACACGTCGCCCATTCATGCCTGGGGTGCCCACGCATCCGCACAAAATAACAAGTGATGGGGTTCATGCTGCCGGGCTGGAGCGATAGTTTCCAGACTACGTCAGTGCCGCTGCTGCGGCCAACTTTCCCAAACAACAAAAAGTTAATGCTGGAATAGTCGGGCACTGCAGAGTGCAGGCCGAGCTTGTTGTAGCATATTGGACACCCTTGAACTATAAGAATGAGGGCTGTTAGAGATGTCGGAGGCGCCGCGCCTGGAAACCATCCCATCGTCGTCTCGCCGCTCTCGCTGAACCACGCAGAACCGAAGAATACACAGCTATACTTGTAAGCATCGCTTCGAATACGTCCAGCGTTCGTTCGTTGTGCACTGCTGGACAAATGTTTCCTAACACCTGGTATTTATGAAAATCCCCCAAACCACCCGAAATGTGCTGACCAACTCTTGCTTCATGTTGCCGGACTTGTAGACCACTGCCCCCGGGTGATACAATAGCCATCCACATGCGACGACTCGGATCCCAAAATGAGACCTGTCTGTTCAGCTGAAGGGTTTCCCAACGAAGCTTCAACTCCACTTCTTTTCCTGCTCGTGCAATTGCAACAACCATGTTTTGTAAGTGGCCTGCACGAAAATCAATCAAGAGACCGTCGTCAGTGTACTCTGGAAGCGACAGCTCCAGCAGCTAGTGTTTTTGCAAATTTCTCGTCGAACTTGTTTTCTGCATTGTTGAGGTTCACACAGGAAAGGCGATAAAGGACAACCGTATGTATTTTGCCAAGTCTGTCGTCTGGTCTTCAAGTTGTTCCCAGCTTTCGTTCTGATATTACAAATCCCAAGCCTGTTTGTAAAATCGGTGTCGGTGCTGGGTAGGGGGGCTCCCAATGGCGCTCTCGGTCCAATGCTGCCGCTGGCCAGACTTTCCACTGCACGTCGTCCAGGTACTCGGCCATCGTGTCCGCACTCCTCGCTATCAACAAATTCGCCTCGTAGATCCGGGAGTCTGCTTTGTTTGTGCGGCTTCGCCCTGCACAATTTTTCCCCATATCCTAAGGATTGGGGTTCTTGTTATTACTCTGACGCCTCCCACTCTTCCTCCTCCTTTTTCCTCCCGCTCGCGCCTCCCTCCTCCCAATGATAATCACCAGATAAGACAAGACAAGATAAGATACTACAAGATAAGATAAGATAGCACAAGATATGATAAGAAGAGATTTCAAG